ACCTCAAAACCGCAAAGTCATTAACATTGCTGCTGGCGTTTAGTTGACTTAAGCCTGATTGGCTTTTTCTTTGCGACACAACTCTCACTCAACATTTAAAAAACATTTTGGGCGTTCACGGTAAATGTACTGATGATAAGCTCAACCTCAGTAATCATGGAATCTGCGGGGCTTTTTTTTTTTAATAATACAGAGGAACTACAAAAATAATACGTAAAATCAAATGTTTTAATTGATATAGTTAGATGATTTTATTAAGTAGATTGACATGTCAGAAGTGATTTTGACCGCATAGGAACGAAAAAAGTTGTTCTTATAGTAGCAAGACCTTTTGGGGAGTGTAAATGATGATTTAGGTTCGTTGCAGGAAACAGAACCAACAACATACACACGCGAACGCAAAACATGAACCATACGAGTTACGAAAACAAACTGATTATTTCAGCCTTTAACAACTGCGTCGCGAAGTGCAAGTTAGGTGCCTGAGATATCCAGGATCTTCCACTATTGGCAGCCAGCTCCTAGAGGGAGACCGCTTCCATGGCTGGCAAATCCTGGCAACCCAGCTATGAGCCTCAACGGGCAAGAGAAGAGAGCAGGAACCCGTCACACTGAGCAAGTCAGTGGAAATAGAGAAGGGAGGAGAACTGCTATAAACTAAGTCCCCACGATTGTGAGACGCCAAGGCTGAATAAATGCTCACCAAAAACTGCTCAAAAACGCCAAAAACGCTGTACAAGTAAATTAAACTAGGTTTTAAGTTTACAAACGTTGAGTAATATAGGGAATAAATAACTTACGCAGTCTCATTAAATTGTCGTTTTTTAACCTAAGCTACTTTTTTTTAAGATGAGGCCCGATTAAGAGACCTTGACGAATTTAGCTAGTTGATTGAGACCAAGAAGTGGTTTGCCAAAAAGCCTTCGCTGCATTGGCGTCATTGCGCACATCAGACATTGAAAAGTGCACAATGTGCACAAAATTTCCACACAGGAATACTCTTGATGAAAGTCGACGGGGAATACTGATCATCTGACACTATATATATATATATATATACACTAAGATGCACTGAATGTCATCCTTGAAAAGACTCCATTCGAAAGTCAGAGGACAGTCTGCCACGAATAAGGCCGACGAATGACCGCATGAGCGGAAACAAACGAGTGGCGTGACTATGGCTGGAGGAACCTTACCTTAGTTACCTAATCAGAGAACGCGAATTTGCGTGATTCGTGCATACACGCCTTGTAGAGTTGGGCAAGAAGCTAGCACTAAGCAGCTCGCGGGGCCATCTTAACTTCCAAAGATAAAACAAATCCCTGTCTTCACAAATTCGGAAAACCTACATGCAGTCGTTTAAGAAAAAAGACCACACTAAGCTAATACGTATCATAATTCATGATTAGTCCTTTTTATACCCCTCGTTGGAGTGTAAGGCAAAATAAAAATAACACCAGTTATTGTTAAAATCTTACAATGCGGAATTTAAAAGGCGCAAAAGGCGCATATTTTAACGAAAGCCTCCTATTTCGACCGGCTTTACGCCAATTAGCAAGGAAATGGCTAAAAATGAGATCTGCAATAGTTTTGCATATTATTCTGCTAACTGGATGCAACTAAGCTTCACTCGTCTCTCGTATTTTGACTCGCCCTACGGGCTCTCTAAAATACGGCGTCACCTGTAAAAACATTCCACGATACCACACACTAAGCCGTCCAAAAAGATATACTAGTCAACATCAACAAAAATGGGGAATACAAGTCCCAAAAATTAGTCATATTCATTTCTCTAGCGCCAGTTCTTGTCCATAGCCGAGCTTACACGAATTTCCAATTAAGGAAAATAAGGCAGGTGGATATAACAATTTTTTTTAACACTTACTCACAATATTTATATAGGATACCATTATTGTAAAACTAAGTTACATTAGCTTAAACGCTGCAAAAAAGTTAACGTTCCATTTATTTAAGGTGATGACACACTGCATTTAAAAAAAACAGTTTTAGTAACTTAATAAATACGACTTAATTCAAGTTATATACTTTCTACAATTTATTACCAAGAAAAATTATTCCACAAAAAAGAACATATTGCTTTTATCTCTTCTGGAGGTCGTCCAAGGATAAACAATCCAAACCTTCAGTTGCTTGAAGATGCTTTTGAGAGAATTTTCGGTTTTGAAAATGGGGAACATCTGTCAAACAGAAGCGTCAAGCTAAGATAGCTGAAATACAACCGATGCCTGTGGGAACATATTCTGAGCCGCACTGCGCAAACCCGAGTAAACACAAATGATTCTATTAAACTCAGAAAGCCGTGAGCACCTGAAATATTTCAGGAATGTTGATTAAATTGTGATCAATCACTAAATGAGCAAAATTCAAAACCACAAACTAATTACCACTGCCAGTTAGCTTTACCGCCACCCGGTTAGCTCAGATGGGAGAGAACAGGCGCGCCGAGCAGCACATCGTGGGTTCAAACCCCAGCCAGACCAACAACCAGGGTCTTATAAAAAAACAACTGGTGAGATATCATGCTGACTGTGATTTGAGAAATCAGATGATCGCGTCATTGGGCGGTGAAGTTAAGCCGTTGACCTTGTCCCCTTAGTCCTTCTTTCATTAGTCAACTTGAAGGGGACATAAAAAAACCTACCACACTGTTCAAAAAGGCTAGGAAAAATTTTCCCGGGGGTGTGGTCTACCTTTCACGCATCATTCATGTCATGGCTATGGGTGGGTAACAGTAAGGTCATAAATGTACTAATAGCTGTTGCCAGCCCAGCCCTTGTATTATACAATGTAAAGTGCGCCCGTCGTTTTGTCCTCTAAGCCACGACATACCGATTCATTCCACTCCTTTCTATACTGCCTGTGGTTCAGCTTTCTCACGCATGATAGAGAGAAACTACCCTGACAATACTTAAGACAGAATCCACCAGGAAATTGAGTAATGTTAATTTTTAGTGGACAGAAACCTTGTACCAGAATGATTTAAACAATATCGCATTCTTTTTTATATTTTTAAGGGCTCTTGATATTATTAGTTATCTGTAAAACACCAAAGAAATGTATTATGAAAGCTCGAGAAAATAAATATCAAATCTTCCACATGAAACTTTCAGAATTTACCTGTATTTTCACAATTCTTGTGAGATTAGACACTTAGTTTCTCGGGCTCCCATGAGAAATAGTCTTTGGTGTTATTACACATAACTAATAATATCTATAGCCCTTGAAAAATGTAAAAAAGAATACGTTATTGTTTAAATTATTCTGTTACAAGGTTTTTGTCCACTGAAAAGTGAAATTACTCAATTTCGTGATGGATTCTGTCTCAATATTTGGTAATCGAAAAAGGGCTTAATGGAGGAAGCCAAGAAAAGAGTTTACGGGAGGCGGGAGGTAAGAATGTTTCTAGCTTACGATGGAAAACTCTCAAAAGGCCAGTGTCTTTCCGTTCATCAAAATGCTCGCCTGGTACCCTAAAAAGGATATCACCGCACCATGCTGTTGGGACTGTATTAAGTGCCCACAGGGGACTATCAGCATGGCAATAGGATCTTCCTACTGCGCCAGGTGTGAGCCAGTAACAAAGTCAAACAAGTCTAGTATAGCGATCTCTTTTCTGTCGCTATTCGGCAGCGCAGTTCTCTTTACATTAGCGGTCATTCAACCTTCTGAGCCCAGCAATTAATTACCCTGTGGTGCGCTATTTTGTTCTCAATCTATGTATCACGATGCTCTTTTTGAAAACGATACGGGTCACAAGCGTTTTCGAAGCTAATAAGGTGGCGCGGTTGTTCACACCGTTTGTAAATCCCTTACGAGGCAAACCATTTTCATTTTTGTGATAAATGTGGTTCCAATTTTCCTACTGGTTGCGTGGATGACTAATGATCCTTTTGGACGAGAAAAGATCACCCGTTGAGATGATCGAGTACATCTTTCTTGTATGCAAACCTTATTGCACCAAAATCGGCTGCGCACTCTTCATCGCCGTTTCTTAGCTTTCACATACTAACTCAACGAGACAAAATACACAGGATTCATCGATAGCATATTACCCTGGTGCGTTTATCTATGACAACTGGTATGTAACACCTGCGTTTAGTTTGCTGGGATGCATGTTCCTTTCCGTCGCGAGCAAAATACCTGGGAAAGCGTCCGGTCCCAAGTATAAAGTTTCTCGTTTAACAGCGTGCAAAAGAGAAGAGTTTCGCCCTCGCACTTTCATGTTGGTATAACTAATACTTGTTTGGAACCGCAAGTGTACATGTGAACTCAAGTTGGTCTTCAGTTCTCTAGTTTCTCAAACGCCTTTGTTTTCATAAGCTGTGTATAAACATCATTCTAATACTAGCATATGCTATTCGTTATTGTGCGCACAAAAGATAATAGTTTTGGTTTTTAAAATTACGCACCATTCTCTTTTTAAGACATTCAGTTAGCTAGTTGATCGATACCCAGTCGAGGTTTGCAAGACAGCCTTTGCTATAGGGGCTCCTCGCTTTCGGCAAAATATCAGTTTCAGCTACCAAGATCAACTAGAGATGTACACACAGAACAACATAAAACAGATTAAAGGTTGAAGGACATCGCGGTACATTATTGAAATGGAAGTGTGTTCGGTATATTGATCAACTGACAACAAAGGCGAACTGAGAAGCAGAGCGTGAAAATACCGCAAGACAAGGAATAAACGGACGGGCAAAGACAAAACATAATTAAGAAGGACTGCACAGTGTGAGGTGTTCGAAACCCAACAAACTGTTTAAAGAAGGTAGGAAATTAGCAAACCCTATCATTATTCCTAACAAATGAAGTTGAATGCAGCGCGGAAGCCTTTTTCTTAACATTTAATTTCAGATATTAGAAAAATCGCTCAATGGCTCACATTATTTCGGCTTTCCAGAATATTTTGAAAGGACAGAATGAGTTAAAAAGGATGCAACAAAAATAAGTTAAGCATTTTCAAACATTTATTTCATTTTAACTGATCGTTGCTGATGGGAAACGTCTTTAAAAAGTCAAGGAAATCGTTGAGTGACATTTCCACTAAGGCTTTACAAATATCAAAATTTAAGGACATCTAGCAAACTTTGAAAAAGTTCGGTAACTTAGATTAAAGCTGCATAAAAAAATCCGGTGCGAAAAGACGTTTCAAATTGCCTCGCTCGAGGCTGAAAACGTGAGAGCAATCCGGTCACCCCTTTCAATCGTAGGGGCGCAACTAGGAGCCTATCATGGAGGCACGTAATTTGCTGCTAACTATGGAATCTGGTGACGAGTTCTTGCAGTGTAACCATGCAAATTAAACCTTTTTAGCGGTACTTCTACTTGATATGAAATTGAGGATTTCTTAGATATTGACTATTTGGGGAAGGGGGTGAATAGCGGTTACGACTGACAATCACTTGGTTGGCTGAACATCTGGTGCATTCCATACGAAGGGAGGACTTGGCAATTCATTCTCCTTACTGTAAACAGCACAGTTCATGAACTCGCAAGGTGTCACATTCCAAGCATACCTTAACCCTGTTGCTTGGTAACCGGATGGGCATTCACCAGACAAACCAAGCATGTTAAATGCACTTGTGCTAATCTCAGCCTCTGTGAACATGGATTCTGCTGGGTTACTGGATGATACGCAGTAGTACTACAAGAAAAACAAGTACAATCCAACCTTTGAACTGATTTGACCACTCAAAAACAATTTTCTTATTTTGGTTGGAAGGCGGTTACTTTAGAAAAGGTTTTTTATTAAGTGGATTATCTTGATCGAATAACCACGGACACGTCAGAACGAGGAGACAAGGCCATTACATGAACCTGGAGTTGTAAATTTTAAAGTAGTTTGTTTACCGCCGAAGAACCCGCCTTGACTTCTTCGTGCGTTCCAGACAGAAATGAAATAAGAAGGTGTTGGTTTTGAAGGTAAAGTAACACAAAGAAACCCCCTCGGAACAAAGAGAGAATCAACCAAAACCTCAACCTGCGTAAGTAGTCAACTATGGTATTTAAATCTCATCACGCTGATGAAGGGCGAGTGCTCTGACCATATGCGTCACCCTTGTCCCATTGCATCAGGTACGTGAACAAAATATTCATCTGAAGTCTTAAATTAACATGACCAAGTTGCACCCAAATTGGTGTTCTCAGCACAGCTTCTTTTCGCAGCGGTCGTAGGATTTTACCAGTATCAGGACAAATAAGGCAAAACTATCCGAATCTTTGTTTACAAATGGGAAACCAATCCAGCTTTCTTTCCTGGGGTGAGAATACAGCTATATTTCTAAGAAATTGCGTCAAAATCAAAATTTCGCTTTTTTCTGTCCATAAGTTTAGCTGGGTGTTTACAACCCTTGATGTCTTTGCGAAAAATTTTCCCGAAAACGCGAAAAAAAAGAGAAGTTTATTTTTTGTAGAGGTACAAGTGGGTAGAGAGACAAGATTTTCATTGTAGTTATTCGCTGCTTATTGAGTTATTTACAAATATATTGCACATCTCATGCTGCAAGAAACGTGATTTCAAACGAGCGATTTCGCACGGTTAGTGGTGGGTTAACAGCGGTGACGAAATGCTTTACACATTCACTGGAATAATTAACGTTCTTAAGCCACTTTTGCCCGTTTGACTCGTTTAGATGCGTGAGTACTTAGAGGGCATTATGAATTAGAAAAAAATGAACACCAGCGCAACATGCAATCTTGAATGCTTGCCGAGCATAACTTAATTTGCAATAGGCACTTCATGCAGCCCTGTAAAATTCTTGCTGTCACAAGCCCAATTTTCAACTGGCACCGCACGCAATCATGAACTCGTGCAATAAGCAGCTAGCGCCAAGTGCATTCTTGAGCTCTTGCTGAGAATGAGAAACTAGAACAGCATACAATCTTGAACCAGTTGTTGACGGGATAAACGCAATGTTCAACTAGCACAGCATGCAATTCCAAATTCTCGCTAACACAATTGCAATATGCATATAGCAGAGCAATGAAACAGAAAAGTCATCGAGTGCCGATGATGTCCCAAATGATACAAACATCTTAAATAAACCGCAAGTGTGGTTTCGAGGGAGTAGGTTAACGACCACGGAGGGGCGGCTAGATTTAAATCCACTCAATCGAAATTCGAAAACTGACGGTTGACATGAGGTATTCGTTTTGCCATATCTTTTATACTAACAGAGACTGGGTCATACCTGAGAAGTTAAGTCAGGGGCACCAAACGACTGTTTTCGATAAAATATCTGTTCGGAGAAGCAAATATTGCCTAGAACTTTCTATTACTTCAGGGCGGCTAAAAATTTCCAGCTGACGGTTCCATTCATGTTCATTTTTTCGAAGCTTTTCTAATAAATTCCCTACGATTTTCTCATCTTTAAATTTCACATTTCACTTCCCAAGTTAGCCTATTTTTCGTAGAAAAAAAGGAAACCTAAACGTTTCGGACTCAAAAATGCGATGGAGAGAGAAATCATAAAATGTCTCACTTTCGTGATATGTCAAATTGCATCTAAAAGTTCGGGAAGATAATATTGAAGCCCTTTTGATTTCGAAAAGACTCAGCCGAACAGATACAAATTTTACAGCGCCTCTTAGAATGCATTCCTAGAGACGTAAAAGTACTCTGGATAGCCTAAAAAGTGTTTTCAATGCATTTACGAAGAAATCGTCGTTGGCTGCCCCTGTTAAGTCGATGGATTTATATTTTTTCAGAATCACAACTGAAGGGTGATCTTTCAGACTACTCATCTTCGCAACGAGTTTGGTTTCCCCCAATTTGTTGGTATTTGTGACATCTTATCTACAATTAGCGGTGGTCTAAATTCCATTCTCTCAGACGATTGCCCCTGGTATTAAACAATGAAGATTTAACTATTTTAATTTAATAGTTAAAAAATGCTCAAACCTGAAAGCCGCGCAAGGCACGCACTTCAATACCTCCTTTGCCTACACTTTCGTGGTGGTATTTAACATTTGCTTTCCAAAATGTGGTGTTAATCTGCCAACTGAATGTCACATCAGAAACAATGGGACCGGAGAAATATACATCCAAATCGTCATACGCAACTGCTCGTCCAGCAAGGGCTAAACGAAACCCAACATCTTGTTTGTCAGGGGGGTGAATACTGCCATAAATAGCTGATTTATTCCCCAAGTCCATCGCAACTGCCATAAATACATTCCGTTCTCTGAGGTTAGGAGCATAACCGTAGTTGGCAGTCTGAGCCCAGCGGATAACAGGAAAGCCATCTGCAACCTTTGATTTTTGGTAAAACGATGATAGCTAATACCAAAAAAAAACAAAATGAGACAGCCGCCTTTGACATTCTCTGCCTTTCAACCAGGCCTCAACACCCATCCCCTCGCCACCTCCACCGACTGACACACCCTCGCAACATTTAGTGCTGTCACGCAACGCTCCTCCCCACAAGCGTTGCGTGATGACACTAAAAAAGTTTGAGAGGGAGACCGTCCAGCCTGTAGCTCAAGTGACTGAATGTGGAATTTCCACTGAAATAACGTTGAAAAGCAAGAAAACGCGAAGGGTGTTTATCGAAGGTCGATTGAGAATAACTTGATGATGAGAGCGAACTTGACGATGATGATAATGATGATGAAAATAATGCGTCTACTACCCTCATAGCTGTTCCATGTGTTCAGGTCTGGCTCATAGTCGTTCCAGGTGTCCAGGTGTTCGGTCTGGACGCCTACAACAGGCTAGTACCCCCCATGACCTACCTGAACAAATCCAAAAGGAAATTCGGGATCAGTGAGCTTGTCGGTACCGTAGTACCACTTGGAACGCCAGTCATCAATCATTGCCGGAAATGTACAGTTGTACGTAAATGGTGCAGCTGCATTAGCCTCGCCTTGATACCAAATAGCCCCATATATGGTCATGTTCAAAAAAGGATGAATCATTGCATTATACAATGCTGAGTGTGTGTAGGGGCCCTTAAATATCTCTTCTTCGGGTGAAACGAATCTGTAAAGAAATAGGAAAAGAAGATAAATGTATATAAAAATACCTGTTCTTTCTTCTTTCATCTGCATTGTAAAGTTTGCTCTCATGTTAACGATTGGTGCTAAATTTTTGCACTTTTGGCAAGACGGTATTTTGAGGGGTTTCATTTTTTTGTGATTTCAATAGGCAAACATTAAAAAGGGCATTAGGGGCTCTCAACTTCATTTTATTTTTCAAAAAGTCTGAAGTTTTCAAAACTCTTTCAAGGTTCTCTTCTTCGTGAGTGAAATCTTTGCAATTACATTAAAAAACCGAAAAAATGCCTTTTGCAGATTTTTCACCTGATTTTACATTAAAATAGCCCGATTTGGTTGTTTTATGCTGAAAAGTGAATTTTTCTCAAAAAAAAAACTTGGTACTTTGCTTAACGTTATTTCACAACATAAAAAACAAAAATGGAACTTACCAGTTGATAATTTCCATTTTACAGTAGAGGTATTAAGTTGTGGAGTAATAAGAAAAATCAGGTGGGTTGTCTACGTTTAATCTACTCCAAAAAGAAAAATGTTGAACCTGATCACTAGGCCTATGAGTTCAAGTATCTAGGACAATGACACAAGAACAGCAGGGAACAAAGGATCATTACACATTTCTAGGAAACTGCTCGCTTACCCCTCTCCTAAGCCAACATTTTCCCCTAACTGAAAAGTAAGTGTTAATGTTGGCTTAGGGGAGGGGTACGTGGGCAGTTTCCCAGAAACGTATAATGATCCGGAACAACTCTAGGTGTCTATTTTAGAAAGGTGAACATCTCATAGAGCTGTTAATCAATAAAGAGCTGACTTTATTAAATTCCTGCAGCAGTGCGTAAAAGTTTTTTGTTAACTTACACATCCACTACGTTGTCTCCAGTTATGTTACACTGACGCAGGGCGTCTGGCGATGACCATGATTCAACCGGGGTACCACCCCAGTCTGTGGCAATCAATCCAATAGGTTTCTTGTACTGGTCATAGATGTTCTTACCATAAAACCAGCACACAGCTGAGAAGTACTTCCAAGCACCACCATTCACTGATTCTTTGAAAAATGAGACAAATTTGTAAACAGTAATAACTTAATAAAGAAAATGGGTTATGCGAATCTTTACATTCTCCAAAAACAAATTGCACTGAACACTGACATGCTATCCTGAGAGAACAATCAACATGTTGTGAAACCACTACTGGTTTTAATACCTGCAAAATGACATCTGAGGAATGAGTACAGAAATAAATTCCACATCGATGAAGTGTCACTACCTAGATCTGGGTAGTGCTTCGGATTGGTTGAAAATTTTCTTCAACCAACCAAAAGCACTACCCAGACCTGGGTACAGTGACATGCCATCTGTATGGAATTTCGGCAGTTGTTCCTCAGGCAACATTTCATGTGGAAACGAATGGTGACCCTATGAAATGTTGATGCCTTTTGAAAAGAGCTTGAAAAAAGAAACATGCTGGAAGGGACAAATGACATGAGCCCTGACCTTAAAAATGACCAGATGTAACACTCTACCCAATATTATTGAACTGCCCAAGCTGACTGAAGAGCTAGTCAAAATATTGTGGGTTGCAAGCTCTGGCCACCTTATTGCGTATCTTTGCTGAATAATGCATCCAATAGTAATGGTAACTATAATAGTTTTGCAGTAATACTGTAACAGATGTTATCCCCACACACTTTATATGTTTCTCAGGGGCGTAGCCAGGATTTCTAGGAGGGGGGTTCCAAATTGGTTCCAACGAAAACGGTTGGTCTAAAATCCTTACATTACGTACGTACAAGACTTTGGCGTTTACGCTACGCAAACAGAAGACGCCTTGGTTGCCGTTGAGCGAACGTGTTTATCACTTCCTCGATATTTATGTCTCGGTGGTAATGGATGTTCATCAAGGCCAGCCCAGACTCTCGCTCGCTTGACATCGTCGACCTCAGGTATGTTTTTAACCTTCTTAGTGTACTGAATGAGCGCTCACATTCAGCTGACGTTATCGGCAACGTGCACAAAATGCGGATCAAGGTGTGGATGTTAGGAAAGAACTCTCGATCGCACGCTGCGAGTGTCTGAACTGCACTGGTGGAAAGGTCGGCATCCTCAGTGCTGCACCACTTTCTCTTCCATCGCAGGAGCTCAACATCAACCATATGAGGAGAAGGTAGGTAGTTCTCATAAAACTCCAGCGCTGCTTCAATGTCAGGATTTCTGTCTCCGACGGCTACCAGCTCAGGAAGAAGATTAAAGAGGCTGGACAAGACAGCATTATTAGTAGGACTGAAGTATGTTTTCATCTCTGATTATAGATGGTCTAGAAGGGGAATAGCAACTGCCCTCTTATGGTAATCAGATGGTGTCTGGGCTGGTACATTGTCGCGATGCTGCTGCTGATTGGTCCGGCGCGGGATGGTAGGCACAACACCTACATTTGCCGCGGTAGTGACCGCCAGATAGAACCACTCGGTCCAGATGTCTTCGATGTTGTCTCGGATGTCCTGGAGATCGTCCGTGACATTATTACTGTTAGTGTACGCCTCGTAGACATCTAGATCTCTCTTCTGAAGTTTTACACTCAGCGGGTTTCAGGACGAAAAGGCATTTCATTGCCGTCAACAAGCTGATTATAAAAGCCAGAAAAACTTGAAATGGCGTTCGCAAGTCTACTCACTTTATTCTTGGTGTCTGTGTCCCACCTCCATGCTGCGTCGCCATATTGGCCAGCAAATAGACGTTCATGTGCCATTACCTCAAGCGCTCGCATGATACACGAGAAGATGGCGAACAAAACCTCGTAAGCTTCGTGTCTCTCCACCCATCGCGTCTTGCACATTTTCTTTAATGTTGTTTTCTTCGTGCATCTTGTTACACAGGAATCCCAACTCTGTTCATGTCTCCGAAAATGCAAGTGAAACGCAAATGGATACCACAATGACGTTCACTGTACTTATTGTAAGTATAGAACAAAACGAAGAATTTCAGGAATCGAGAGTCCATTACACTCTTGCTGGGATAAAATCCACTGTTAAAAATAGGAGAGGGGGGTTCCTTGGCGCGAGAGGGGGGGGGGGGTCCGGAACCCCTGGAACCCTCCCCTGGCTACGCCCCTGTTTCTTGTTCTTTTCCATACAAAGATGTTATAAGCAGGGCTTCTGATATTTCGCGCGGTCGCGGACCCACGAAATTCAAGTATTTCCGCGAAATACCGCGAAATCCGCCAGAAATATTTCCAAATACATGTCAGCAAAACATATTTAATACTTATCTATTAGACCTGTTTTATTCACCCCAAACGTCCAAATCTATCTTGAAACTTCGTCACTGCAATGAGTAAAAAACGTCCCAACACTACCAGGCGTTTTTAGATGAACGTTGCCAAAAACTGGGCACTGTTGCTGACAGAGCAAATGATTATCCCTGTTAAAAAAAACAGTAAACAACGCTGGTCATATCGACGCAAACTTTGCCAAAAAAAATCCGGCGAAATCAGCTGTTTTTTACTGATTGTTTCTTGGCGAAGTTTCCCCCCGTAATTTCCCGTGAAATCGGTCAATTTTTCTAAGAATTTTGACTTTTCTCCCGCGAAATCGGCCGATTTTTCCGTCAATTTAGACTTTTTTCCCGTGAAAATCCCGCGAAATCGGCCGATTTTTCCGTGAATTTGCCCCTGAAATCCCGCAAAATTTTGCTTTTTTTCCGCGAAATATCAGAAGCCCTGTAATAGTCTGTATAAGAAACAAGTTTTCACAAGGCTGCATAATTATGTGCTCTAAGGAAATTAAATAGAAGGGAGCCCAATGCTCTGAGCCTGCAAGATCTAGAGTGCCCAGCATGGGCGCCCAGCATATGATTTGTATGGAAGAACTAAGAATTTCTAGTTGCACCCGAGAGCAAAAGTCGGGCGCCAGGGGCCACGAGGCTCTACTAGAGCACAGCCTTGTTTATACACAGGCAAGAAACTATTCTGAGCACCTGTGACTTTTTAAAACATAAAAGTAGAAACTAAAACTTCAAAATGTGGATTCTTATTAGTCCCCTTGAACTTCCGTCTTCTATTTTCCCACATGTGATAGTACTCCAGAGAACTGTTTCTTTCAAATTTTGTCTTCACTTGCATACAGCGTATGTGCGCATAATTTATGAAAAGACAAAGGGGCAAATTCCCCTGCGACCTTCATTGGGAAAACAAAACATACAAGCTATAGAGGTCTATCATATCTCAAATATTTGAGATGGGGTTAACCATCAAATTTTCATTTATAACTGGCAAAAAAATTCAGTTCCTTACTAGAAGAGGCTACACTCCATGGTTGCATAACTTCTTGAAGTTCATAAAGAGGAGTGTCGGATGCTATGAGGCTTGCTGTAAACAGTCTGATGTCAGGATAATGGTCAGCTTCTTCAATAGCCTCTGAAGCATTTACAACCTAATGTGGGTTTTACAAGACAACAGAGCTCTTTTAAGCTTTTAGGTTTGTTAATTCACTTTTTCAATTTACCAGCTGTTTCTTTCCATTTTTGCCTTTCTCACATGTACATGTATTATGTATGTAGTCATAATTTAAAGAGAAATTTCTGTCGAAGAATAATTATTGATGGCTAAACGCAAACACTTAGTCAACACCATAAAACACAGAAACATTAACTCAACTGTTCTCAACGTGAAAAAACTCGAAAACGTCTTTTAATATTCTTCACTGTCACGTGTTCTTTCAATATTTATTGTCAATCAAAATTCCACCCAAAACCTAGAGGGGAGGCATTGAAATTGTCAATGCTCTGCAATGGGAAAACAAACAATTCAAGTGAAAGAGGCCAATCAGATAAATGTAATTTTCGCCACAAACGTTTTGTCTCATTAAAAGACCTTCAAAACAGTCAAAAATTAAATGGTTAAGGAATGTGGTAGTGTATGTTTGTTACTACCGCTGCGCACGTATTTCGTGCCTGCAATGTAACCACGTGTTTTTTGAAACCTGACTCTTTGTAAGTTTGCCATTTTGGAAGTGTATTCGTGCAACTCAAAACAGTCGGTAAGTTTTCTGACTTATATTTCGGCCTTTTCCTTACGAACTTTCGAACACTGAACTCATTATAAGCTTGTATTTTGATTCTAGAAAACCTAACTCGTTGTGCGTAGGATACTTGACCTTATTTGGACCCACTTAATCGTGAATTTGTTTGAAGTTGACTCGGATGAGATCTTATTTCTCTTTGGAAACCTGCAATGTTTATGGAATAAAGACATAGTTTAACATATGCCGAGTTTGAGTTTTCGACTTTGGACCGCAACAATGTTTCAGCCACCAATAGAACTCAGACCATCAGATAGCCTAAGTTAATCACTATCCCATGGATATAAGTGGTAGGGAAACTGATATTGCATTATACCTGGAAAAGATTTATCTAGAGGACAGCATCAACCACCTGGCCCAAGTTGGTCAAAAGCTGGATAGTGCTATCCACTGTCTGGATAAATCACTATCCAGTGGATAAGTATTAGGGAAACCAATAAATTGCACTATCCAGTGGATTAAGATTTATCCAGTGGTTAGCACTATCCCCCTTTTGAACAACTGGGCCCTGGTTATGCCAACTTGATCATGAATTAGTTGCAAACTGTGCTGTGTATTCCATACATAGACAAGAGCTTACATGTACACATCTGTACCTGAGTAACTGTGAAGGCCATGTTGCTCTGCCCACTACATAACCAAACATCACCGAACAGCACATCAGCCAGGCTTATGGATGAGGAGGTGTTACCCACTTTTGAGGAGGCGTTGATGGTGTATGGGCCTCCAGCATCTTGAGCGTCGAGTGTAACTTTCCACACACCAGAACCACTGGCACCTAAGATCCAACATTTTCAAATGTCAGACAAAGTTTGAATACGGCTGTTAACAGGGCATTTTACTTGGGGAAGAGATTGTTTTGAGAGGGAGTCCCTGATTTTGGAAATTTGCATCTCCACCTCCCCCCAACA